CTATCCAATTCTACCTGGCCCTGTGTAAAAACTGAATTGTTACCCTTTTTAAATCATGAATTAACTCCAATTAACCACATTTTTGGAAATCTGAGTTCAATTTCACTTGCCACACTTTGGTCTGATTACTGCCACACCTACTGAATCAAAAAATTACAAGAGTAACCTGCCTGACAAAGTAAAGTAGGCCAAAAGGCCTCAAAAACCAACATATTATGACATGATCAAAACAGTCACTGACGTCCATTTCTAAGGCTTTGGGACTCCAGTGAACCACGGTGAGAGCCACTAACCACAAATGAATAAAACTTGGAACAGTGGTGAACATTCACCAGAGTGGAGTAATTTTGGTAGGCTGGCCAAAAGCCCATGAATGACTGATCCAGGAGGTCTTAGGCATGTCTCACATTTGCCAAAGAACATCTAAATAAACCCCTCTATAAACACTCTAAAAATACACTAAAGTTGAACCTTTGGAAGGTTTGTGTCCTGTTACATCTGATGTAAGACTAACACAGCATTTCACAAAAAGAACATCATGCCAACAATGAAAAACGGTGGTGGTAGTGTGATGGTCTAGGGCTTCTTGCTGTAATTCATAGAACAATGAATTCTGCTCTCTACCAGAAAATCCTGAAGAACAATGTGAACACAGCAGGATCTGAAACACATAAACAAGTCTGCCTCTTAACGGCTCAAAAAAAAAGAAAAAAAGATTTTGGACCAGCCTACTCAAATTTTGGACTGAAACCAGATTAAGATGCTTTGGCGTGACCTTAAACTGGTCGCTCATACTTGACAACCTTCTTATGTGGCTGTTTTAAAATCATTCTGCAAAAAAGAGTGGGCTAGATTTTCTCCACATGTGAAAGACTCATTCCCAGTTATCACAAAGACTTCATTGCGGTTCATCCTTCCAAGGGTGGTATAACAAGTTATCAAGGTTGTAGAGGGCAATTACTTTTGTCCACACAGGGCCGGCTAGGTTTGGATATCTTTACGCCATGAATAAATTAAATCATCATTTAAAACTGCCTTTTGTATTACCTCAAATTATATTTGCCTCATTTTAAAAGTTCTTTGAAGATTTCAAAGTGAAAAAGTGAAAAAATAACTCAGAAAGGAGGCAAATACTTTTCTCATCACTCTACTTCTTGTAGAAAGGCTTAAATGATCAGTTATTTCTATGAATAAAAAACATATTCAATAATGCTAGTCAAATAAGAGCAATGTGTGTTTTTTTTTTCTTTCCAGACTTTACATTTTTGGAATATTTTTCCACTACAGTCTTGCAAATACAACTTACCGTTAAAAGATCGGAATACTTTTTCCACCACTGGGAGGCAATAACTATAGCTACACATTAGCTAGCAGCAGCCAACGACAGCTGACGGCTAACGCCAACGCTAACAATAACAACTACGAAGACACAGCAATATAAAGTGAGCTGACGGCCAGAAGAAGACAACACATGGAGCGACACACACACACAAAACAACTTGTAATAATACCTGTCGCAGCAGTAAAAACGTCTAGCTAAGTTGCTCAGCTAGCTAACGTTAGTAGCACCAAAGTCTCCCTGTCCCAGTTCTTTGCTCCAAGTCGTACTGCCTTTAACAAAGCCCCTCAACTACAGCTACTCCATGACGACCTCTGCCGGGTCACTCTATGCACCGTGAGGGCACATATATCGGAACGGCATCATATTAAATCCCGATGGGATTTTTATCCAGCTATAATATCCCGTTGACTAAACTGCAGCAGGTCACAGTAGCAGCAGCAGAGCAGCGACTCCACAGATTGGACGTAAACAGACCATTACGTGAGTGTACGTGCGCGTCCCCAGAGGAGACCGCCCAGACGCGTTTCGCTCCAGAAACAAGATGCCTTCCGCGCATGCCCGCTGGTCGGTCTCAACTGCCGCTGTAGGAATAGTAAAATAGCCGTCTCAAGCAAACAAAGTGTCAAATCCGGATTTGACGGGGGCTTATAAACCCAAAGTGACACACAGAGAAACGCAGGAGGAATTTTATTTCTTAAAAATATATATTCTGCTCTCTTTTTTTGGTCACCCAAGGACGGCAGCTACAGCAGGAGGAGGAGTTAGCGGCGTGTTTCCGCTAAGAGCAGGCCGAGACGGTAATCTATGCAGCCACACTGAGAATTACAAAACAGCGGCAGACCAGTTGGCAGCTACTGCGCGAAATAGTTTGACTGAAATTTGTTTAATCTTCGGGGACTTTTGGTTGTTCGTATCGGGAGGCTAAACAACGAGAGAGTGAGTGGCAGCTGGACTGTCAGCGATGGAAGCTGAATTTCGGGAAATCGATGAAAACGGCAGCTGGAACGCCATTTATCAGGTAAGAGCTCTTGGCAAATTAAGGTGGAAATAATCAGACCGTAGCTGAAGCTGGTTAGGCCAACGTGTAGCTTACGTACAGTGAGGTGGTAGCTATAGTTTCTCTGGCTATATGAGTATGTTGTTGGTGTTTAGGTCAGTGCCTGTTCTTCCTGCTCGGAGTTATCCGATGATTGATACGTCTGCTCGGGTATAAAGGCAGCAGCTCAACGCTGACTGACGTCATCATACTTTTTTGGACGTACTAACTTATTTTTAATGAATTATTCTCAGTTTCGTCCACTGTTTCCATTCCGCTGTTAATTGGCAGCTTAAATATAGTTATTATAAATGTTTATAATACATTACATAGGGGTATAACACCTGAAACCGAGTGAAATCACGATACAAACCTCCAAAATATCGTATCGCGGTTTTATCTCTCCCATACCATGATACACATAAGATGTAAAATGCCATAGGTAACAATTCAAATGGAAATGCATCACAATAATGGTAGAAACTTTTCTTTATGTAAAAACGTTCTAAAGAAGCCACGTTCTAAAGAAGTTTTAGCCTTTCATAAAATGAAAATTTAGTCATTTTTTTGAATGGGGTTTGATTTAAATGCATTGTTAAGGGTTTTCAGTGGGGTTAATTTAGAAAAAATACATTACCGACAAAACAAATAACCCAAAAAAAAACCCAACTGAAACCTGCTTTGAGCCAGGAATCCCCCTCTCCCAATATACTATGACATAAAGGATTCATTAGTCTGTTATATGTAACATACAGCTTCTATTTTAATTCTTTAAGACCATATCCTAAAACTTGAAATTAGAAGTACCCCTTTGGAATTTTTTTTGTGAACTAGCAAAAGTACTGTTCAAAACATTTACCAACACATTAAATATTTTCTGTACATTTGTGGTCTGCCAAACATGTTGAAGGCATTCACTTCCTCATTTATGATATGAAGTGTACTGGTTTTTTTTCTTTCTTTCTGCTTATAAGAAAATTTGACCTGTTACTCGAACTTCATGTAATCACCCCAAAAGGCTCATTTTGAGCCAGGAAATGCTCTTAATGGAGCTTAATTGTTATTCATAATCCAGTCGCGATTAAACGATCAGACTCGTTGTGGACTTTGGTTTTCTCCCTCTGTCTTTGTTATTCATCCCTGCTGAAGAAAATTGAATAAACTGAAACAGTGGAACGTGAGGTTATGGACTATGATTGGTCAGTGAGCCAAATCTCAATCATCTCTCTATTATTTACAAACATTATGCAGTGGCTGAAGTTAAAACCGTGTTGTTGTTGTTTTTTCACATGCAATCTTCTTTAACTTTTACATAATTCAAATAAAATAGAAAAAAATGTTCAGTAGGCAGGGCTTTGGATTATAAAGCCAGACCAGGTGATGGTCCCTACAAGCCCATAACGGGATGTTTGTGGGTCCAGATGTGCGAAAGGCTGTAATAGAGTTTGGCCTTCTTGGGAAACCGTTAACGCAGCCTAAGGTAATCCACAGAGAGCTGAAGCTGACAGCAAACTGTTCAGCATTGCCAAAAGCAGATAGGGTGACAGGCCCTAAGTAATCTAAAGTTGGAAACCATTAAAAATCCTTCCACAGGTTCACCTACCTATGCCTTGAAACTTTTTCTCCCACTCTTTAGCTCTCTTGCAGTTATACTGCCTGCAGCTGAACTAAACAGCGAGTTTAAACATTTTAGGAAGAGGTGAGCAGAAGAGGTGGGCTTGGAACATATATATCATAAAACAATAAAAACAATGAAAATGAATGTTGTTTCTTGTTTTCATAATAGTTGGAAATCAGAATTGACATTTAAATTAAAATTTCATTAGCCACCGTAAGAAAGGGTAGTCTAAATACAAGCTTTTGACAGTGTTAGTATTGAGGCAAATATAATCCTGATTATTATTGAGATAGCTAGAGGAAATTGTAAAAGGGTCATCAGCGAATGTCATCATTATTTGTTTGTCTTAAAGAATACAGCAGTCACACTCAGAGCTTTTTAATGTGGAGTGGATGTTTTTTTTTGTTTTTTTTTTTAAACAAAACAAAACAGAAAAAAAACCCTGCAAAAACACCAAAACTCTGCTTTAATGCTTGTTTTCCTCCTTTTATTCTGTTACAGGAGATTCGGCAGCAGTCGAGTGAATTCCCTTGTAAGGTTGCCAAATCACCTGAAAACAAGACTCGGAATCGATACAGAGACGTTAGCCCGTGTAAGTTTGTCTTTGCTTGCCTCAGTGTGCTGGACTGCAGAGTCTGAAATACTTAAAATATTCCCACAACTCTCAAGGTGTTGTAGCCACTAAAATTACATTTAGGACCTCATTATACACTCGTATACTGGTTTCATTTATCTAGGGCAGATATTTTAAAATGTTTTCATGTAATTAACTAGGGTTTTCAGTGATTTTAAGCATCACAGTTATGCCAGGTATTTATGCCAAACCTGCTGTAAAAGGGCCTAAAACCTGTACCTAAAACTTCACCTGCCTCTTAAAGCTAGCACCATGCAGACAGAGGTTGGTCACAGGGATACAGTATTTGGGTAACTGCAGTAGAAACATTGTCCAAATGCCTCTGAAAGTAGCAGATTTGTTTGTGTCCTGCCTGCCAGCTCTGGTTGCTCAGTTATCAAACCACATGTGCTTCAGGATATCTCTGAATCTTGCTCTGCATCTGTGAACTGTGGTTCATTGCAAAACATTAAAGTGAGTGAGTAGAAGTGGAAAATTACAATAAAATCAAACACTGTTATGTTTTAAAAAGCAACATGCTCACATTTTCACACAGCTTTCTACTATCTTTGCCACACCAAAGGGGTTATTCGTGTAAGAAACTATGAAAAGTTGTGGACTGGCAAATGTCATGTCATGTCATGGTAGGAACCTTTTTCTGATTTAAAAGATCACAAAGGTTCATATAAATATACAGCTGGGGTGATAATGCGACCTCATTTGAATACTTGAAGGTTAAGTGAATGCCACTGTGGGTCTCTTTGCTTGGTACTCTACCCGCAGTGTTGAAGGGTCTGTAATCTTCTATTTATGTTTAAACATCTGTGGTGAAGTCACAGCATTATGCAGCATTATATAAACACCTAAGCTGGCTGGAGTTTCAGTAGGTACAAGAACTGTAATATCAGTTTGAAGTTAAGTAAAGGTAGTGTTGCGCAATAGAAACAGCCTTGCATCACTCTGACTGGCGTAGTGTTTCCAGCTAATTTATTACTGAGTGTCTCAAAAACAGCTACACAGGGGAAGATCAAGGAAAGGGGAAATTAAGTTGTTTTTTTTTTCTCCCAGCAATGCTTTTAGTATCATTTATTTTTTAAGCGTTGAAATAAATGGTGAAATAAAAAGCAAACACAGAAACAAAAAAGAGAGGAAATAGAGGAAATGCTTATCTTATTAATATATGGTTATCCATAATCACACAGCTCCTATTTGTTTGTATTTTACATAAAAAGTGAGCGTATATACTGATGCACAATTCATTCATAAATATTAATAGAATTTTTTCTTTTTCTGAATTGAGAATATATCTTAAAAATCTTAAAGGAGCCACTGTTTTTTGTGAGCTTGATTTCATTAGCGGTGTTGCCCTCATTGGGACTTACTGGTGTCTTTGACCAAAATTTTGGTACTGTTACAAGCTGTGTGCTGGATATTGTGCTGTTACTTCAGGATATAAATCGGTGTATCTAAAATATATTCTTACTGGCAGTTTGCTGACCATACACAATGTTAAAGGTGCATGTGGATTAAAGCTAAATTTTGAAGCTTTAAGTTAGAGTTTTGCCATTTTTGGGGAGCCAGAGTTGACCTTACATGGATGAAAGGGTGAAGAGCTGAGTTTACAGGTACTGTTTTTTAGCAGCATCAATTAACTGTTAATTAATACAGTAGCAGTAAACACTCACCAAAAAGGAGCACAAACTTTGTCACTAGTTTGTATCACACATTAGTTGTTAGTCAAATGATCTCCATTTAAAAAAGCTCAGTGACTGCAGTTAGTGGAGGTGTACATCAGCTACATGTAAGTACACTTGTCAATCAACACAATGACTAAGCTAACTCAATAACTCACTTATCTAAGTGAATGAGTTTCCTCTTTTTTTTCTTTTCTACACCAAGTTGTAAATATATATTTTAATGCTGTAAATTTGGGCGTTTTAACAGGGGAGTCTTGTGGGAATTATTTGCTTTTAGAGTCAACCTCAGGTGGTCTTTAGAGGATCTGCAGTTTTTGTCACTTCTTTGTTTTCAGCTCTGGAAGTTTCCCTCTTGCTGGTGACTCAAAGAACACAAAGATACCAATTTTTTTTTTCCAATATGTATTTTTTTGATCATCAATGTCTTTTTTTGTTTGTTTGTTTTGTTTTTTTGCTTGTTTGTTTTAATTTTCTATAACAGTTTGGCATTTAAAATGGGTCTAGTGCACTTCCTCTCGTGATAATCTTCTCACAGGTCACGCTGACCTCTTCTCAAAATCTTTTTACTGCTGGAGACTTTGCAACAACTGAAAGCCTCATGTCAGCTTCAGCAGATAGTCAGGTTGCGATGAACTTTCTACAAACATCCTGAACTAACAGCTGAACAACAGAGTTTCCTCTTTTTCACACTCAATAAGCCATGCAAATTTTTTTTTTCTCAGACTAAGTTGCAAATAGTTACCGTAAATACCAACAAGGGTTTTCTTATTCCCCTTTACCAGATATGAAAATCAGGAACCTGAAAGTTTTTTTTTTTTTATACTGCTAACCTTTTACCTAAAAGGTTATTTCACTGGAAATCATAAATAGCTAATCTCACAATAGTAAACATCTTTAGTTTGTATGAAGATGCTTGTTAAGTGTTCCCTACAGCTGTTTTGGTTTGAGAACTGCATTTCTAGTCCCTGGTGGGTTGTGGCATTTAAAAAAAAAAAAAAGTTCATGTGCATATTTTCATATTTCTTTTTCTTCTTTTTCTCTTCTCAGTTGATCACAGCAGAATACGTCTGCAGTTAGGTACAAATGACTACATTAATGCCAGCCTAATAACAGTAGAAGAGGCACGGAGGAACTATATCCTTACTCAGGTAAGTGTAGAAAAGATTCAGCACTGAAAATTCAATATTTCCTCTAATTCAGAGAGACAGTGACAGAAAAATTCAAACCTTTAAGTCAGTATTTTCTGATTGTATAAGATAATTTAGGTTCCTGGTTGGCCTAATGACCATAATATCTTGTATTTTATAGTTATGCCTTATTTTAGGTCCTTGTCTGCAGGATTTTTAAAATGAATATGCAAAGTTATTAGTTTGTTAGGGAACAGAGCTAAAGACGAGGCCACTCTAATGCAATAACTCAGCATGAGGTCCTCCCTTTATGAAGGTCATAACTCTTAGTTTCTGCTGACGCCGTTTTCTTGAGGTTTTGATTCGGCTTTTATGATAAATTTAGAATCCTTTTGTTTGTTGTGCTTTTAAACGATGAAGGGGTTTCTTTTCATTCTACCCTCATTCTAACCTCAGTCGAGGTTTATCATGTTTTATCACTTTTAAGTCGTCCTCAGCATCAATGAGTCGACCTTCTGGTTAGAGTGACACTGGGAAAGCACTTTGACATTAGGGCTCGTTATACTACTATTGCTGAAATGAAGTCACAACTGCAGGCACAAGTGCTGCTTTGGTCTTCATTCAACTTGTCCTGTGCCTCAGGTTTTTGTTTTTGTTTTTTATCCTGCTGCTGTTTAGTTCAGCCAAGTGGACATGAATATACCATTGTGTTTGTTGTTCTGCCGCTTATGCGGCTCCAAGTCAAAGAGGCAGCAATGTCAGCAGACGCTCTTCTGGGCAAACACTGAGGTATTGCCAACCAAGGGACACAATCTTTAAAAGGTGTCCTGGGTTTGCTGGGGCTTCTCCACCCTTGAGGACCTGCCTGGAACAACTCACCTATGAGGTGCCAGGAGAACTCCTGGTCAGTTGCCTGAGGAGCACTGGCTCTACCCTGAGCCCCTCCTGCATAACCACTCTCTTTATACTGTCTTTGAGGCTGAGCCCAGACATCCTTTAGAGCTTTGACTTTCTGCCTTTTTGATCTACTACCCACAGCTCGTAACCATAGAGAGAGAAACAAGGCTCATTGAAGATTGATTAAAAAAAAAAAAATAAACCACATAAAGCTAAATCAGTTGCCAAAAGCATTTAAAATGTCTTTATTCCTTCTCGCACTGAGAAAGCAAAACTTTTAGAGCACTTTGTGAAGCAAATATTGTCAGTTATTTAGTAACAATACCAATATATTAAGCTGGTAAATGCTCCATGTTTCATAGTGCACACATTGGAAATGGGCAAATGTAAAGACCCAAAGTGTCCAAGTCAAAGCACAGGGCAAAGCTTGGGGATGATCCCTGCTGGTACTAATGCCGGACAGACAATGAACTGGTGACAAGGCAGAAGGAACTGAGCAGGAACTGGGACTGAACTGATCTGCAGCTGGCATCTTTGAGCTGATAATGGAGGGTAGCTTCTGTGGCTTTGGGTCAAAGCTGATTTGGCAACATTCAAAGAAGTATATTAGACAGGAGTGATCATGTTTCCTCTCCCAGCCATGCAATTACAACAAAGTGTATTACAAGACAGTTTGTATAAGCTCTGTGTATTACAAACAATGTTATGTATTTACAAACAGCACTCAAAATTGCGTCTATATTTCCAGCCTATTTTTAGGAGTTTATAATGTAGATTAGATCAGTTTTTGATCCAAAGAAGTTACGCAAAGGGTAAACATACTGCAGTCTCCCTCTGTAGGAAATTTCAGGGCAAGAGTGTTTATGCTGAAGACCAAATGTCTTAAAAATAAATGAATAAATAATAATAATCAGATGCCTTGGAAAGCTCTTTAAATAGATACTGTTTTATTGTGTTCTGTTACACTAAAAATATTATTTCCTGCCTTTTATATAACAAATGTGCTGTACTTCCTTTTTAGGGACCCCTACCAAGTACTTGTGGCCATTTCTGGGAAATGGTGTGGGAGCAGAGGACCCGTGGTGTAGTGATGCTGAACCGGGTCATAGAGAAAGGCTCTGTAAGCAGCTGTTTGAGTCCTCACAATGTTTTAGTATCGTCATACCTTGTTTATCTTTGAACCTCACCGCTGTCTGTTACCCAGCGTGTAATGTCATTCTTCATGTCATTTTAGATTAAGTGTGCCCAGTACTGGCCAGAGAGAGAGGAGAGAGATGCCATCTTCGAAGACACCAATTTCAAGCTCACCCTCGTCTCTGAAGACATCAAATCTTATTACACCGTCCGTCAGCTGGAGTTGGAAAATCTGTGTGTAAGTTGTCTTCCTGCTGAGTTTGGTTGTAAAACTGTAGGGTTGGGTAAAAACACACTGCTGTAATGAAAAGGAATGATGAACTTCAAAGTGAAAATGTGAAAACTTTAAAAAAGTGAAAACTTTGTAAACATAGATTTTAATTTAAAGGAACAATTTTCATACTTAAGATCATTAGTGAAAAAAAAGAAGAAGAAGTCAAGCCTGACGGTGAAGTGGAAATGAAGAATCAGGCCGGAGTTAACAAAAAAGGCGCTATAAATATTTGAGACTGTGAGAAATGGTCTACTTTCTAATGAGCTGCTTTTGCTTCTAGTCCTCTGTTGTTGCTGTTTTTCTCTGCGAGGGTCTTTTACTGTGTAGCCTCTGTTTTTATTTTTCCTCCATTGGTTACTGTTCTGTGTAAGACTCAAGAACTGACAGCAACAAATGACATACACTTCCTTTTTGGCTCTTCAGCGAGTCTCTATTTCACACTTGGTGAAACAGCACTTCATCTTTGATGCTGGCTTAATTGTCACATCTACTAACTTGTGGTGCCAACATGCTAATGATTAAAAGGAGTGTCTGTTTATTCACAGATTAAAAAAAAAAAAAAATGAATGTCACGCTTGTGATAATTTATAAAAGAGGAATTTGCACCACATGGTATTCTACCCTACATCCAGGTTTAGTTTAGAATCAGCGCTTTGTTTTGAGTTTTTCATTTCTCCTACATGTTTTCTCTCCAATCTTTCTCTGCAGACTCAAGAGACTCGTGAGATTCTGCATTTTCACTACACGACCTGGCCCGACTTTGGGGTGCCGGAGTCTCCTGCATCTTTCCTCAACTTCCTGTTCAAGGTGCGAGAGTCGGGCTGTCTGAATTCAGACCAGGGACCAGTGGTGGTGCACTGCAGTGCTGGAATTGGGCGCTCTGGGACCTTTTGCCTCGTGGACACCTGCCTCTTGTTGGTGTGTACAAACTCTGTTCTTAGGAAGTCATGATAATAACAAATTTAATCTCCTAGGAGACTGACATTTGCACAGGAAATTAAAGCAACCTTTTCTTGAGAAGCTGTAGTGCTAGAACAACACTTGATTTTCAGACATAGTGACGAAATGTGCTAAGATAATGGGAATCCATTATAACAAATTAGTTGTCTAAGCTGTCTTGTTGGAACACCTGGTTAGATATTGGACATATGGTTAAGTTGTGTTAAAAAAAAAATCTATTTAAAGTTGTTAGTTTGCTCAATTACTTTTTTAGATTCTAAAAATGGGAAACTGTATCAAAATGTCTGATTCCTAAAAAGTCAATTTAATAAGAGTATTGCATTAATGTTGAATTAAAGCTGAAAGTTTGAACTTCAGTAATATATTGATTGAAATCCACTGTAGTACAGAAAAAAAGTGTCATTGTCCAAATTCGTACAGACCTTACTGCAGACCTCACTTTTAGAACCACATCAGCAGCCCAGTTTAATTTTTTTTTTAAATCATTTAAGAAGTTTTATAAAGGTTAGAAGTTTTTTATTCCAGGGAGATGCTGAAAAAACTATCCACACGTTTATTTCTACCTGGCTGGTGCACTGAAACTCTCTGCTCAGAGGAATCTTTGAAAAGAAAGAAAAAAAATCAGTTACTGAAAGCAGCTGTCAGCTGTATTTAAAAAACAAAAATAAATAAATAAAATATAGAACACCTGCACTGAGGTCGTTACATTGGCTTTTAGTTGGTTGCTCTTATTTATTCGTGTGCCTAAATCTATTGGCTTAAGTTGTCTTTACAGTTTAGTGGCTGAAACCTCTGGTAGCTCACTCATTGTTCTCAAGTAGAAGCACATACAGTTTTGTTTATTTATTTTTTTTCTTGCTAGTGTGACAGAAGTCAGTACGCTCTTGCACCCCTTACAGAGGACGTCAGAAACGTCTGTATTGAATGTTTTTGCTGCTGTGTGTAGATGTCCCTACGTAAAGACCCGTCTTCAGTTCGTATTCGCGATGTGCTGCTGGAGATGCGACGCTATCGAACGGGCTTGATTCAGACTGCAGATCAGCTTCGGTTCTCCTACCTGGCTATAATTGAAGGTGCCAAGTACATCAAGGGAGATACTTCTGTGCAGGCAAGTCCCTCCTCTCTTTTCTGCTCTGTGTTCTTAATGTACAAATTTTACTTGGTTTGTCTGTTTTTCATTAAATGCTATACCAATATCCACCTTTTATATTTTTATGTTTGGACGGCTATGAGAGTAACTTTACCTGCTTCAGAATTTAAGTTATTGTTTTATTGTTGTTGTTGTTGTTGTTTTTTAATGGACCTTAGTCCAAAGCTTCAGTTTATCTGCTCTCTGAAACAAACTGTTTTAGTTTCTTGCTCCCCTTAATCCATCTTTCATTTGATTGGCTGTCACTGGTAAAGCGTATCACGGTGGAGCTATCCAGTCTTTAAGTCTGACGTCATTAGCCGTGCCAGGGCCCAAACTCTGCTGCAGGTCCCTAAGTCCAGCGATCACTGCGGCATCACTGAGAGTTAAAAACTGTCTAGTTTTGCATCTAAATATAATATACCATGTTCTGACTGAGAGATTTATGAAACAAATGAAGACGTACAGCTCTGCTATCACTTCCAACATAAATGAAGACAGGAAAGTAAACAGCAGTGACGTTTGTAGGGTTACTGAAGTTTGGCTTGATGGTTTGATGTGCTATGTGATCACTAGCGACACAGCTATGTTAGCATAATATAAACAGTGAAGCTGGAGGATGAACGCTAACTTTTTTCCACTCAATAAAAGTTAACGTGAGGGTTCCCGAAGGTCCGGGACAAATGCAATCACATGGCAGGATGCTGTAAACGGACTGAACTTCAGTCGGGAGAACAACTGAGATAATCCAGTAGTAGTTTGGGCCCAGGAGCAGGATTAATGGCTATGAGAATTTGCATATTAATGATCAAGGAACTGACCTCCCAGCCCATTGTTCCTTCAGTGGTGCTAGTTTCAGTCATTGGGCAAATTTACTGTTTATAAGGTTGGGAATACTTGCAGTCAGCTGAGCTTGAAGAAGTCACTTGGATGAGTGATGATGTGACATCCAGATGAACAGAATCAGCCTTTTGGCATAAAGCACATAAACATCCTATGAGTGAATGTTAGAAATCACTCTTTGGTCATGTGTGCGTGCGAGGGTGGAAAATGCACAATATAATGAAGGTAAACTGGAGTCTCTGTTGATGAAAGGTTCCCTCTAAAAAATAAACAAAAACAAAACATGCTGCAATATCTATCGATGTGAAATCTATTATTTTAGCTATTTTTGTTTTTTTCCCCTCTTCAAGGAGTCATGGAGAGCGCAGTCCAACGAGGAAGATGATCCTCCCGAGTTCACCCCTCCTCCTCCTCTTCCTCCTCCCAGAGACCCTCAGAATGGCAAAGCAGAGCCGTCCTTTTTTCCTGAAGAGATCATCCGAGCAACAGAGACCCACAGTCTGGGGTAATCATCCAGTTCACGTTTTGTTTGCGTTTATCTAATATTGTTAGGAAAACAGGATCGGGTGTCAGTGTTGATTCTAAAGCTCATAGCTCCGTGGAGCAGAAAGGCCAGGAAACATAATTAAATAGAGTGCAGTTTGAAATATGAGGTGTTGAATTCCTAAAATTAAATACACAGACACTACAGAAAGCTCTCTGTTGATTCGTGATCAACTTGCTCCATCCGAGGGAAGCATTTCACCAGTGGGTGTGTTAAGATGCCACAGGTGTGTGCTGATGCTTACAGGGCCTACTTTAGTCCTACAGCCTACGTACAACCTTGCAGATTGTTGTCTAGCTGTAGCTGTTTACTGTCAGCAGGGGGCAGTGTCACAAACAACTGCTCTGTGGACTACTCTCTAACAAAGAGTTTTAAAACCAATGAAAATTGTCCACTGCAGTCTCCGTTTGTGCTTTTCATGCCACCTTTTTATCACTTGTTTTATTTGGCCCTTCTCGCTCTATGATGTTAACTCTTCCTGTTCAGGCCCACTTATCAATCAATAAGCATGCGACCTATGCACACCATCATCCCTGTACACCTACTTTTTTTTTTTTTTGGTTGTTGTTTTTACACAAGCACATCTGTGTAGGTTGCATACCCAAAATCCTTCACTCTGCATTTCCAACTGTGCAAAAACTCTGTATCATGAATCAAGATTAGTCTTGATACTTGATATCTTGGTTAAATAAATTTTACTGAGGCTCAGTGCACCATCTTGTGGCACATGTGGTATTACAGAAAGGTACAGCATGGCCCTTTTTCACGTAGAGTTAAAAATGATATCTTTTCAATACAATACTTTGTGAATACAAGGTCACAGTGATTATTTCTTCACATTCTGTTGTGAATTTGTAATTCTGAAAAGGTTTCATAAACATTTTAAATACATGAATTTAGTACCACTAATCAAAAGGATGTTTTGCTCACAGTGATTCTTTGTACATATGCTGATCTCATTGCTCGAAATGTCATTCATATTTGAAAAGAATGAAATCCTTATGTCCCACTGATTAGACTTTATGAGGTCAAAAAAAGGTAAAGTTAGTACGTTGTTGTGTTTTTGTTTGTTTGTTATTTTTGTGTTTGTTCTTTTCTCTCAAAAACTAATCTTCCAGTTTCAGCTAGCAAGGAAGTCCATGTTTCTGTGGAAAAAAAGAAGTTTAAAAACCCCCCCAAAAAACGAATTATTTTCTCATCTGAACCTTCATTGTTTCTCATTCAGCTCCTCAGAAAAAGTTCGAAAAAGGATGCCAGCTGCTGACTCTCAGCCTGCTGCTGACCTCCAGCACGCTCGTGATGGTGTTGCTCAGTCCGACGGCCATTTGGAGATCCACGATGATACCTCCTTTCCGAACAAATCTGAGCAGCAGCCAAAGGAAAACTCTCCCGTGCCGGGGACTTGGTCCCCACTACTAACCAAAGTGTGCCTGTGCACAGCGCTGGCTCTCAGTGCTTTCGCCTGCTATCGAGCCTATTTCCACTGATGCCCTACTTCCCCGTCTCTCCACTGACGTTGCAAAGTGGACAAGGCTGACCAATCAGCCCGCTTTGACTCTGCTAGGGGGTGGATTGTTTGGTCTTCAGCAGATTCACTTCCACTGGTTTTAATTTTATAAATGCCGTGCGAGTGGTTGGCTGGCTGCCGACCTTATGACCGACCCAAACTTTCTTTCTGTGTGTCATCTTGGATGCTCAGGGCCTCAGTTTTTCAGGTGTCACATCCCAAATAATGTGTGCTGGCTTAAACGCAGACTCAGAGGGCTCTGCTGGTCTGTGAATCAGGATGAATGACCTATCAGCCCATTTTTTGTCATGAGTCTCTTCTCTTATTTACCAAACGACACGTGAATGTGTTCTTCCATGTTATTAGTAAATCATGAGCCCGTTAGGATTTTGCTTTCTTTTCTTTCTTCTTTTGGTTAAACAAACAGATCAGAAATTGTAGAACCAGATTTATGACCAGCCTGTCTGAAAATATGCCAGTGTGGGAGAAACCTTATTTGTTTTGTTTGTTTGTTCCTTTGCTGTTGGTCAACATGGATCCCAAGAGTAAAATGAAATCCAGAGCATGTTGGGGTGGGCCTTGAATTGTTATGTGACTCCACTAATAGCCTGCAGGTTGAGTACATACAATATATGTGTTTGTGTGTATATGTACATTTGTGTGAGTGGTAGTTTTTAAATTCTACCCGGTGAAAAATATTAATATAACATTTACAGGACATCAAATGTGAGATGTAGACCGGGTTCTCTCCTGGTATGTGATTCTTTTTTTTTTCTCTCTCCGTGGTAGCCCAAAAGTGACACAGGAGGAGGGGAAAAAACAACAACAACAACAAAAAAAAAACCAAGGTAGAGTGACGTGTCTCACTCTGTATTTGTAACGTCTGAGTGATTTCAACAGCTTGAGAACTTTTAGAAGGTTATAAACATTGGGCTTTAGTTCTAGTATTGCTCACAGTGGATAAAATGCGTAACATAACCGAAACAGAGTTGATTGACATTGTAAAATAAGTGAATGTGTGTTCAGTTGGTGGAGTGCCAGCTTAAAGACCGGAGATGCAAAGTAGCCAACGTCCATCTCTTTTCTCCAGCAATACAAATACTCAGCAATGTGTCGCCCTTTACTAACTCTCGAGTTTGAACGGGGAACCAGGGACTTTGAACAAACCAAAAATCAAACACCAGCACAGGGATGAAAATAATACACTGTAGTGATGCTCCATTGTATCTTGTCATGGCCCTGAGCTGGCGATATTGTTTTATATGATTATTATTTCTTTTAGCATGCTGCATTTGTGAATCAAAAGGTTTATCCTAAGAAGAGATTAGTTAAGCTGCTAGCGTTCGTTTACCTTTGGGACTCGACAGCTGTACCTTTCTTTAGAATGTATAATTCTGTATTAGATACAGCATACAACAGAAGTGAGTACACCCCTGCAGACTTTTTTTAATGTTAAATTTGTTATTATTACTTTACTATTAGTTTGAATGCCGTTAGAGTTGTTACGTTACAAAACAAAAGACGCTTCACAGTAGAAACTCTGTGCAAAAGAAGTAAGCACACCTTTGACACATACCTGACACAGTCGCGTCTGAATGCTTGGTTTTTGGGCTCTGGTGCGGTGCTCGTGTGTGTGTGGGGGAAAGGACATTAGCTGTGTTGTGATTTCTGCTACATTTCTGTGTGAAATTATCACTTGGAGAGAAATCAACAGGTGGTCTGTTCTCTTATGTCGCTGCTCGTGAAGTGAAAGTTAGGCCGATTCTAGAAAGGGTAAGTTGACCGTGACGAGCAAGGAGGATTCCAGTGGATGTTTATCAGATTGAACATTAAACGACCTTTAACCTGACAGTTCTCTATTTGCTGCTCAGTCACATTTTCATTGGTTACCGCTGAGTTTTTAATTTGCGGTGCTTTAACTATAGCTGGTTTTGTCTCTTTCACATGAGCTGACATTTAGGTGATATTAAAGAGTGGTGTACTCATTTCTTTTTATACTGTACATATATTTTAAATCAGGTTTCAGTGTGCTGAGTTGGGTTTTTTGTTTCTGCTTTAGCGAGGGATTAAATCTCAGCACCTGTGCAGCCGTTGCACCAGGTTTTCCCGTTTTTTCTATTCTTATGCTGAGCTCAAAAACATGTATTTTTTTATTTACATTTGTTATTTTCCTTTTTAAATAAAAGAGAAAAAAAGCCCAGTTGCTGTTGATTTGTCCTGATTCACACCTAATCTTGTTTTCAGTCCTGAAATGTCTCATTGTATTTATATTTTGGACAAATAATCGCTGTGAGCTGAGAACTATGAGTCCTCTGAGGTTTCCTACTTGTTGGATTGGTGTTGGGGATGGGGATGATTTCAGAATCACTGGAAAAAATGAAAATATGCACTCACCGACCACTTCACTAGCTGTACCTGTTCAACTGCTCGTTAACAGCAACTCAACGGGTTTAGGCAAATGGGTATGGCCAAGGCCACCTGCTGAAGGCCAAACTGAGCATGAAAGTGGAGAAGAGAGCTGATTTAAGTGACTGGTGCCATACAGCTGCTCAGAGTATTTCAGAACCTGCGGCTCTGCTGGGATTTCCCCCACATAACCATCTTTTGGGTTTACAGAGAATGTTCTGAAAACGAGAAACTGCCCAGTGAGTGTCAGCTCTGAGTGAAAATGAAGGTAAAACTTTGCATGGATTCATTAGATAAATTACAGCTATTGCACAATTTAAAAAAAAAAAAAAAAGATTTTGGTGGGGTTAGTTGGGAGGGACTCCCTAATTTTTCATTCGATGACCCTATTTATAAGGTTCTGCATAACAGAAAGGAGACTAAGAAAAATTTCATAGCTTTATTAACTCTCAAAGAGCCCGTCATGTTTTTCAGACGTAATTTAATCCTCCAGAAAAGAAAAGATTTTACTGATTTAAAGTGGGGGTATTTTGTGGTAATATTTTACTTCTTTTACTGGTTCTGTTTTGAGCAGCCACGTATCCTGCAGTCATAAAATTTAGTGGAAGGAAGAATCAGTCAACAGACAATGCATAAAATGGGGCAGTTTTGCTTTTACAGTTATGAAACACCCCCTGATGTTTCTACTTAACTATGCTTGTAGAAAAAAGGTTCTGGCTTTAGAGCGTGACACTTGGAGGGAGGGTACAATTGATTTGGTTCTGGTTTTAAGAGCTTAAATATGTTTTTCATGTGGATATCTCCTGTATTTAAGACATTATATGTCAAAATAAAAAGCAAAAAGGTTGTGTACTTTCAAGGGGAAATCTTGCGTGGTTTTATTTAATATTTAACTTTTCTCAGATCTGAGTTTATACGGCATGAGCCGTGCAGTACTGACCAGCCTCTGCTTGTCTTCACCAGCAGGTGGCTCTGTGGGACTGTGATCCTCACCTGTTTTCGATGTGAAGCGTGGCCGTGTTTGTTACGGCCCACTCTTTCCTGTTTTCTGTATTATATCGGTGTTTGCTCATCAATTATGTTTGTATTTACAGCGGCGGAGAGCCTGGAGTAAACCAGTTTGCAGACACTGCCTCCAGACGTCACAGTGACTGTGAGGAAGGACGTCACATTAATTTTCTTTTTGTCTTCAAACTTTTTCCCCATCTTTCACAAACTGGTTTTAATGAAAATGTTCCCTATCTTTAAAGTTTAATTTTCATTATTTAATCTGAGAGATCCCCACAGATAAAACCACAATGCTGTACAGTTTGTGATTAGCAAACTTTGCGGTTCATAAATAACGAGATTTTGCTCCTGCTAGTGTAAAATCTTTAACAACAATAGCCATCAAACTTTAAGCTTAGGTTAAACATGTCCAGAGATGCATGCGTTTCTTGAGTAAACTTCACCACAGGGGTGTAGCGCAGATGATTTGGCAACAGTCTTGGCTAGAACTTCCTGTTTGGGAAATTAACAGGCACTGTGCTGTACGTGGTGTACAAGAATGCATTTTAAACAGTGAGTGAGTAATAGCACTCCCAACCACCGCTCTGCTGACGTCAAGGCAAAGAACACGCACCACTAGGAAAACTACAATCAAGGTGTGACCGGAAGTCCTAAAACCACAAATGTTTCAACTGAAACTACAATCTTTCTAATCTGACTGCGCTGCTGTGACTCATGCACTGTTTGTGGTGAAAATGAATTTTTTATTTTAATATTAGACATGTGTTAAATGTCACTTTGATTGTGTTTCCTATCTATATATGTCATCTGGGCCTACATTTTCTGATGTTTTTACTTTAGTGAGAAACTTAAAAAGAAAAAAAAGAGGGAAGGAGGGAGGGAGACAGACGGGCTTAAATAAATGTCAGAGGTGCACTGCGTTATCTCTCTGCTTCCTTACTCAGCCTAAATTTTCACAATGCTGACTCCACATTCACAGCTGACCAAAAAAAGATATCAGCCCTGCCCGGCTAATTCTTTCAGCATATGTCCTCAGTTTAGTTATTAACCTGGAACTTCCCAATAGCTGGCCAGCTGTGAGGGTGGGTGGGGCAATGGCTGACTGGAAGTCTCTCTTGTAGCCTGCAGTTCATTTTCACAGGGAGCCGAGCAGGGATCAGGAAATTCCTGAATAAGAGGAGAGTCAGATCTTTCCAAGAGTGACTCTGCAGAAGTCTGAGTCACCACACTCGGCAGCACTGTACAATGGGAGCTCAATACCACAACGTGTGAGTACACTGTCATCAGGTATATCATGTCTATTCATGCCCTTATTATTTCAAAACTCCAAAAACCCAGGAGAGTGAATAAGACAAAGCTTTCAGTGTTAACTTGTCTTGAAAGGCAACTTGGCTCAAATTTTCACAACATTTAAGATGCAAATAGTCACGATCCCTTTTCGGGCTTTAAAAACAAGTTTTTTTGTTTGTTTTTTTAAAAAAGAAAAGAAAAATCACACAGTTAAAGCACAGGTCAGTTTCTCTGAAGAGGCCACACCAGGAAATGAAAAGCATAGCGAGGTCCATACATATAGAGTTTAATGACTGATAATTTAAGCTTCATATAGCCTTCTCATGTACACTTTGGACCACATAAAGGCCTCAATCAGCCCACATATAAGTCTTTTAGACTTTATAAAGTTGTGTGTTTAAACTATAAGAGGGCTACCACACAACCAGCCCACAGCAACCTGTTTCACAAACCTGACAGACAGCTACCTGCCCTATGGGTCACTTAAAAATACACCCTCATGTCAAAGCAAAGTAGCGGATCTTTCATTCTGTTCCTGTTCATATGCCCGCAAGTGTCACCGAGCCCGTTTTACAGGACTCAACATGATAGCACAGTCGTTCACCAGAACGTCTCGACTTTTCATCTGCAAAACACAGTTTAGGCATGGAACCAGCTGGATGTAAGAATAAAACTTCCCACTCTGAGATTTAGCTGGAAGAATAATTTTTTTTGCTGTAAATGCCCTTTTTTCATTTAAACATCAAAATTCTTCTTTCAACTGGTTCCTTAATGACACAATTTTCTCTTAAAACAGAAACTGGCCTCTTTTCACATGACCTACTCAGTCTCATACCTCAGCTGCCTTTTGGTTGGACTGTGTGTTACCTTGTTAGCTGTCAGGTGCTATGAAGGTGCGGCTCTTTGTTTAATTTGGTGTGCACACCACAGCTATAAGCGGGCCAGATTAAAATTTGCAAAGGGCCAGATTTGGCTTGTGGGTCTTGAGTTTAACCCTTTTGCATTTAAAACAGAAGCTCTCTGTTTTTTTCTGGTACGCCCCTCTTCAGGAGCCAAAAAATGTACACACTTAACCAATTTTCACACTTTACTTACTAAGTTTTACTTAAATTGTGAGTTAACTTTTGCTTGTTTAATATCCTTTACCTCACTTTATCTTTATTGTATATGTTTCCCCCGGTGGTCTGCACTCCCCTGTTTGAGAAACACTCTACCAATAATAGAAAATATGTTCATTTACTTTCTTGTGAAAGGCGGCTACCAGCAAACAGAAAGCTAGAGGGGTTGGCTGAACCAGAGAAGACTGGAAACAGTTTATCTCTGTCCAAAGGTAATAAAGTCAACCTTCCAGCACCTCTAAAGCTCACTGATAAACATATCTCTTCTAACTGTAAAAACTTTACTGTGCCAGGAGTTAGACTGAAAATATTGACAGCTTTATGAAGAGTTTGAGTTTTGTTAATTAGTAACCTTTAGAGGCAAAAGATTTTCGTTACCAGTCGGCAGAGCCAGACACATCGGCTCCGTCTTTCTTTAGTCTTTCTAAACTGCAATGCAGTTGTTTTTTGTTTTTGTTTTTTTTTTTAAAGCTGGAAATATATTAGAAACATAAAACCCAGAAGAAAATTCTTCATCTGCTCACCTCCTCCCTGAGCCTGGTTCTGCTAAAGGTTTCTTCCTGTTCAAAGGGAGTTTTTACTTCCAAATTAGGGGTTGTTCATAGGGGTCATATGATTGGTGAGGTTTTCTGTTTTCTTTGTGTCATTGTAGTGTCTTTACCTTACAATATAAATTGCCTGTTGTTGTGATTTGGCGTTATAGAAATAAAATTGAATTGAATTGAACTGAACTGAATCGAAAAAAATATTGCACATCATTTAAATACAGTGATTCGTTTGAAGAATTTATGCTTGTTTTATTTATCTTTCCGGCCACCTCCTCCAGCTCTTCAAGGGAAAACAGTGATGTAACCTCTCCTGCATGTCTTGGGTCTGCTGCGGGTCCTCCTCCTGGTTGGACACACCTGTAAAACCTCACCTGGGAGGCGTTCAGACAGCATCCTTATCAGATGGCTGAGCCACCTTAACCGGCTCCTTTTGACATTAAATGATTAAAAACAAATACGAAAATCTGGTTGAACAACTCACACCTCAGTTTACTGGCAACAAATCTCTTTTCCACTGATGCAGTGCCAGCGGTGATGCCAAATTTAAATCAATATTGTCTGAACATGATTCTCAGGCCCTTCAGTGCGACTGTAGTAAAGCCAGGAAAAAGTCTGCTGGAAATCACTGCCCTAAAGGCTCAGGAAGACTCTCAACAACAAGTGTTACTGAACGCAGTCCATTCAAAAATTCAAAACAAAGCATATATAAACAACATCCAAAAACATTACAGCCTTCTTTAGGTCATGAATGTATGAAGCGTACTGATCAGTCTAACACTGGTTTCTGAGATACGTTCCAGGCAAAACCTGTTCACATATTCTTTTCCTTATTCCTTTCTGACACCTTTGACCTCTCTTGACGGTGTCCTTCTACATGCACATTTAGATGACTGCCTCTTCTGCGCGCTTGGAAGCAAAACCAAAATACAAAAAGTGCCAGTAAGAGAAGTACCACTCTGCTAGTAATAA